TAGTCATGGTCGTAACTTGGAGGTCTGGATCCTACAGTATGTCTGTGTCCATCTGGACTAGCATAGTCATGGTGGAAACTTGGAGGTCTGGATCCTACAGTATGTCTGTGTCCATCTGGACTAGCATCGTCATGGTGGAAACTTGGAGGTCTGGATCCCACAGTATGTCTGTGTCCATCTGGACTAGCATGGTCATGGTGGAAACTTGGAGGACTGGTTCCTACAGTATGTCTGTGTCCATCTGGACTAGCATGGTCATGGTGGAAACTTGGAGGTCTAGATCCTACAGTATGTCTGTGTCCATCTGGACTAGCATCGTCAAGGTGGAAACTTGGAGGTCTGGATCCTACAGTATGTCTGTGTTCATCTGGACTAGCATAGTGATGGTGGAAACTTGGAGGTCTGGATCCTACAGTATGTCTGTGTCTATCTGGACTAGCATAGTGATGGTGGAAACTTGGAGGTCTGGATCCTACAGTATGTCTGTGTCCATTTGGACTAGCATAGTGATGGTGGAAACTTGGAGGTCTGGATCCCACAGTATGTCTGTGTCCATCTGGACTAGCATAGTCATGGTCGAAACTTGGAGGTCTGGATCCTACAGTATGTCTGTGTCCATCTGGACTAGCATAGTGATGGTCGAAACTTGGAGGTCTGGATCCTACAGTATGTCTGTGTCCATCTGGACTAGCATAGTGATGGTCGAAACTTGGAGGTCTGGATCCTACAGTATATCTGTGTCCATCTGGACTAGCATAGTGATGGTCGAAACTTGGAGGTCTGGATCCTACAGTATGTCTGTGTCCATCTGGACAAGCATAGTCATGGTGGAAACTTGGAGGTCTGGATCCTACAGTATGTCTGTGTCCATCTAGACTAGCATAGTCATGGTGGAAACTCAGAAACCTGAATCCTACATAAAGTTTGAAAACCAAGAAAAATATCTGAACAATATATAATACTCTCTAGCTATGGTCACCAATCATTCCCTGTGCAGTGTATGTGCTAATCTCATCGCAGAACAGCCTCTGTCACCTTTCCCCTATGGAATCGCTCATGGTATTTCTTACATCAAGCCGTGAGCAAATTCAGCCAAGCAACTAAGTCTTCTATGATATTTGGCGTCAACGCCGTGATTGAAGTAGGATATAACCAACCCTGAAAATTCACGTAAAACCACAGAGAATGGGAGCATAATCCTCGTTTATATGCCATTTTGTCAATGGCCCCTTGATAATAATGTAATTATTATGTGCTCTTCTATCTCGGAAAATTTCAAAATCACTTTATTAGGTACCGCTCAAAAAGAGCAACCTAGTTTATGATATTTGCAACAATGAATAATATGTGAAGTTATTCATATATTAAACAAAATGTTAACGTGGGATTTAATCCCTGTTCATGACTGTCGGGAATCGAGGGTGTTATCCACTTGTCCACCGACTCTTTATCGTAAAAAAGAGAGAATATTTATTATTCTATCCACAAAATATGAATTTTCATCTTTGCTTTTATCTGTTAATATATGGTTGAATAATTTTGATCAGAATAAATGCAATCGAATTTTCTTTTTACAACAAAAAGCCTTTATTTAGGGTCACTGACCCTATACAGGATTCACCAGAGGTATGCATAAGAACAAAGCAGTGAGACAAAGGTAACAACGATATAGACAGAAGAATAGAGAAAAAAAAAACAAGAATGAGAAAGAGGGAAGCAAGAAAAACAACACAAAAAGAGTAGCAGTAAGAAATTGAGGAGTGAGTGTCACTTGGCCTTCTTCTGAGATAAGGACTTGTGGAAACCATAAAATGCCGTAGCAATATACTTATTCTGGGTCATAATGTCAATTATTGATGGAAATGAAGCACAGAGTTGACCAGTTTTGAGCATAAGGGTTCTTCTTTCTTCTTTCAGAGCAGAGCAATCAAAAATATAGTGAGTGATTTCATTTTTTAGATTTGAAATACAGAAGGTACAAATGCAATCGAAATTAACTATTTTACGACGCATATGTTTACTTTCAAATAAAACGGTTATCTACAGCCCTTAGTATAATGATAAAAATAATTTGAGGGCTTGGCTCTTCAGTGGTAAAACCTCTCAGCGGTTTCGTCAGTCTAACCTAACATTCCACTCTAATATTGCACATTTGTCTATTTTATATCCGACGTTGAAGAATAACTCTTAGAAAGGGTATTTCAAGTGAACTATGGACATAAGCTTTAAAGATAGTTATAATAAATAATCATAAAAAAACTTAAGGGTATTTCTTTTAGCATGTACATCAGGATTCAGACAATAACGCTGAAAGATATTACAATGACCTTTATTGAAGACACACGAGATAACCAAATGTGAACGAAATTTCCTCCATCTCCTTTGAAAAAAAAAAGGTGACTGGCGATATCAAAGAACTTTCCACTTCCTAAAGTTTTGTCCATGCGTGTTTGTCAAAAGTGAACTATACTATGTGAACTACAAAGATAAATTGTTTAGTAATTTAAAACATTTAGACGCGAATGTTTCTTTTAAACATTAATCAAACTTCTACTGCCCTTACTGCGATGAAAAAATATTGGGAGGGCTTGGCTCATCAGTGGAGAACCCTCCCAGCGGTTTCGCTAATTTAATCTACCAGACAGCTTCTTTAGAGATCTAATAGTGTATTGGACGATTCTGCATATATATGCTATACTGAATGGTGGAGTCTTAGAAATGGTTTTTAGGCAAACTATGGATATAAGCTTTTTAGACAGTAGAATTACATATATGCATGATATTTGATATATGTGTGAGAGAAACGTCTGAATGTTTTCATTTGTTATATATAGAGGGCACGTTATTGCTTTGTATTCAATTAAAGAGTGTTAGAAAGGAGGAAAAATGGGTGGTGCTGACTGGATTTCGTTGATTTCAGTTCTAATCTTTCTATTTTTAAATCATCAATTTACATTTTTTTTTAGAATCGATTCTACCTGGTTCAAAATCACATTAATAGGTACCGCTCAGCAAGAGCAACCTAGTTTATGATAATTGAAACAGTGAATAATATGTGAAGGTTATTCACATATTAAACAAAATGTTAACGCGGGATTCAATCCCGGTTCATGACTGTCGGAAATCGAGGGTTTTACCCATTCGTCCACCGACTTTTTTTGTACAGTGTTCGATTCTACGAAATTATTATTTACTACATTGCGATAATATAAAAGAAAAAAAAAGGAGATTCTTGTGTAGAATACGTTTATCCCGCCTAGATTTCGAACAACATCGTTCTTCAACGGGCGTGAACCATCTCCTCAGCGGCGAACTACGCGATCAACGTATTCTTCGTAGATCGCGAAATACATGGTGTCGCTGGAGACCCGCTGGTGTTTCTCCACCAAACTCTGCAAGCGCTGGCAGAGGCGACATATTCATTGTACATAGTGTATATAATCCATATTTTCTTTTTTTTTTTAAATAATGCAGACTGTGCACTCTGCATGTTTTGACAAGATGTCAATAAAATTATTTTAATTGTCAATTGTCTACGGGCGTAAAGTATGTATAATGTATTACAAAATATAGAAATACAATATGTCAAGTAAGAAGTTTCAGAAGATGAGTTTCTTTTAATTGTAAAACATTACAAGCTTTCGGGCAATGCCCTTCTACAGGTAAAATAAAAATAAAAACAAAAATTAAAGGTAAATTAAGGTAACTGAGAATTAATAATTCTCAATTGCTTAGTTACCTTAATTTACCTTTAATTATTGTTTTTATTTTTATTTTTATTTTACCTGTAGAAGGGCATTGCCCGAAAGCTTGTAATGTTTTACAATTAAAAGAAACTCATCTTCTGAAACTTCTTACTTGACATATCTTACTGGAAGAGTCTTTGACCTTTAATAGAAATACAATGTTAGACAAGTACTCTATTTTTCCAATAATTCATAAAACTGAAAACATTTTTTTTACATAAATGTGTCAGTTTTTATCACCTTAATTCAATACATCATTCTACCTGATAGCAAGCACCTAACGCCATCTATGAACCAAAATATGAACTAATTTTAAAATTCACTTCAAAAGATGACTTTTTGACAATACAATACTTCCATTGATACACAGCCATATTAACCAATGGTTTAACTCCAGATATTTCAATGAATTCCTATCTCTCTCTTCAAGGGATTGTTTACTTTGAATTCAAGTTTTACTTATATACATACATGATATTCTGAAATACAGAGTCACGTATCTAGAATTCATAAAAGTTTAAAAAAAAAACCTTTTGCAAATTAAAAGTTCTAAAATTATATATTCGAAACTATTTCAAAGACGTAAGATGTTTTTTTATATTAAACAATTTTACTGCCCTTAATGCAATGGAAAAATTAATAGGAGGGCCTGGCTCATTAGTGGTGAACCCTCCCAGCGGTTTCGCCAGTTTAATCTACCATACCGCTGTTATATTGCATTTTTGGAACCTCCTTTTATAGTGATCCTGATGATAGACTCCTGGAATGGGTATTTTAGATTAACTATGGACATAAGCTTTGAGGACAGTAGAATTACATACATTTATAAATATATAATATGCTTCGAGCAATCGCTCTTCCGCAAATATCAAATTATATATACATAGAGCCTTTTAAAAAAATTGTTCGTATTTACATATGTATTGGTTAAAGTTTTCAACCAGCAATAATCGCGCCTCGGAAGATCCTCATGGGCTACGATATCATCTCTGCGCATGGTATTCACATATGTAGGGCCATACATCCGGGGAACAAATCGCCAAAAAAATATATATATATATTAATATACATTGTTACTATATGTAATTATGAACAGAGTTACTAGAAAACGACATTTGAAAATATCCTGCACGTGTTCTTTTCAACGAAAAATCAAAATTTATTTCAAGGAGAAATAACGATTATTTCTAACCTTTGGGATAAGGTATGAAAGGATTAATTGTGAAGAGTAATGATAAACGGAAAAATAAAAGTGTCCAGGGATGGGAACCTAACCCACAGTGTTCCGCTTACCGGGCAGATGCCATGTCCACTAGGCTACCCTGGACATATTTTTCCGTTTATCATTACTCTTCACAATTCACCCTTTCATACCTCATCAAAAAGGTTAGAAATAATCATTATTTCTCCTTGAAATAAATTTTGATTTTTCGTTGAAAAGAAACACATGCGGGATAGTTTTCAAATGTCGTTTTACAATCACAAGCCGCACTATATTATATTGTATTATAGAGTTACTATATACGTTTTATTCGCCTCAATTTCTACTTTTTACTATCCCTTTTCTATTTATCATACCAATCCATTAATGAGACTTGTTGACGCGATAAGTGTGACAGCCCTAGTTGCCTTTAAATTCAGATATCTCCCACGTGGAGACAATTTCAAACTGTAAAGGATGTTCAGTAAGACGCCAGAGACAACCTTACTTTCACTCTGACCTTTATTAATCCAAACTTTTACTTTTATCCTAACCTATTTTACATATATTTCATACATTAAACCGGAACAACAAAAAGACAATAAATTTACATAATACCTACAATTTAGGTGCGTCTGATATTTGCATTCAAAGAAAACAATTCTAATCTTATACAAGACTGTTTGCCTTAATTAGGATTTGTGTAAATTTACTATAACTTTGATTAAAATAGACCGTCTACCTACCTTAGTAACTACAGAGATTATAGCATTGCACCAATTAAACTAATAACAAACTTCAGTAATTAGATATTTAAACATAACTTTGATTAAAATAGACCGTCTACATACCTTAGTAACTACAGAGATTATAGCACATTGCACCAATTAAACTAATAACAAACTTCAGTAATTAGATATTTAAACATAACTTTGATTAAAATAGACCGTCTACCTACCTTAGTAACTACAGAGATTATAGCACATTGCACCAATTAAACTAATAACAAACTTCAGTAATTAGATATTTAAACATAACTTTGATTAAAATAGACCGTATACATACCTTAGTAACTACAGAGATTATAGCACATTGCACCAATTAAACTAATAACAAACTTCAGTAATTAGATATTTAAACATAACTTTGATTAAAATAGACCGTCTACATACCTTAGTAACTACAGAGATTATAGCACATTGCACCAATTAAACTAATAACAAACTTCAGTAATTAGATATTTAAACATAACTTTGATTAAAATAGACCGTCTACATACCTTAGTAACTACAGAGATTATAGCACATTGCACCAATTAAACTAATAACAAACTTCAGTAATTAGATATTTAAACATAACTTTGATTATAATAAACCGTCTACATGACTTAATAACTACAGAGATTATAGCATTGCATCAATTAAACTAATAACAAACTTCAGTAATTAGATAATTAAACATAACTTTGATTAAAATACACCGTCTACATATGCCTTAGTATCTACAGGTGCGTCTGATATTTGCATTCAAAGAAAACAATTCTAATCTTATACAAGACTGTTTGCCTTCATTAGGATTTGTGTGAGTAATATCTAAATTATATTTAATGAGAATATCTTTTACATTTTTGCTCTTATATTTTTCTGTGGAAAATATGTGTAGATAAGACTAAATGTAGAAGGATTTTCTCTCTTTTGAAATACTCAAGAAAATCGACCATCTCTTTGAAGGTACTGGTCAAGCTATCTTACTAATTAAAGAACGAAGTTTGACAATTATCCTACAAATGTTTCTTTTCAACGAAAAATCGAAATTTATTTTAAGGAGAAATAACCATTATTTCTAACTTTAGAGAGATGAAGGATGAATTGTGAAGTGTAATGATAAGCGAAAAATAAAAGTGTCCAGGGATGGGAATCGAACCCACATTGTTCCGCTTACCGGGCAGATGCAATGTCCTCTAGGCTACCCTGGACATATTTTTTCGTTCGTAAATATTATATATAAAGTAATTTATAATACAATATAATGCGGCCTATATGATTGTAGAACGAAGTGTGACAATTATACCGCAAATGTTTCTTTTAAACGAAAAATCGAAATTTATTTTAAGGAGAAAATTCTTTCATACTTCATCTCACTAAGGTTAGAAATAATCGTTATTTCTCCTTGAAATAAATTTTGATTTTTCGTTTAAAAGAAACATTTGCGGTATAATTGTCAAACTTCGTTCTACAATCATATAGGCCGCATTATATTGTATTATAAGCTATCTTACTAATGTTCATTTCCTTTTTGATAAGAAACCAATGAATATGTCCAAGTTATTCGCTATTTTAAAAATATTTTACTATAATCGCACCAAAAAAGTGGAATATTTTAACTCACTTTCATATGATATTTTAGCGTAGAAATCACGTCTTGTTCAGAACAAATTTTCACGCCTTGCCAAATGCTTTATTTATTTCCCCTGACGAAGACAAAATATTTTTGTTTAAAACGCTCAGAAAATAAAACTTTAACTGACAAAAAAAAAAAAAAAACTGGCTCTCTCTCTGTGGAAACTGTTTCAACTTTGCTGATGTTTGTCATTGTTTACCTTACGTAAAGTTATCTACCTCTGACGTGCAGATATCTCTTCTTCGTTATGAAATTTCTTCATGTGCTATCTCTAATGCTCATCCTGGTGCAAAGTGCACCAATCGACAAAAAAATCCACATTTCCCTAGTTTTTGGGAATGTGATGGGGAAAACAGAAAGCCGTGTATCTGCAAAGATGCAGAACATGTTTGCTGCCTAAATTCCCTCAACAAATGCGAACCGCTTCTGGCTCCCCAAGATGGACCATATGATAGTTGGGACTGGGTCCCAATTAACAGATAAACGGAATCTAAATGTGTCAACGAGACGGGGAAATGTGACAAATATGGTCTCTGTGTACAGCCCCACGATCCCGATTGGATGTTTTACCTGGTCTGCTGTTACATAATAGCATTCGCAATTTTATGCTTCTGCGGTCTCATTGATCTATGCACCAAAGATAAAGATCAAGAGCCTGATTACAGACTTCCCAATTAGGTTGGAGATTTTCTGTAAGTTCTTTTACATGTCTAAATTCTTTTGTTTTTACACATTGGCAATTCTCAACCCAAATTAAAATTAAATTTCATGCGGAATATAATTCTAATCATCATAATTATCATTTTATCATCATCTATTGACTCTTTTCTTTTTCAAAATTCTTTTCATTTTGGATTTATACTTCATCATCATCTTTGGAATTTTCTTCTTCAACATTCTTTTCCTTTCAAAACATCCTATCATCACCAGTGCATATCATCATCATCATCATCTTCATATATTGGATTTTCTCTTTTCAAAATTATCAATATTCATAATCATTATTTCATAATTTTCCCCAATTATTTTTCTAGGAATGGCACGAGAATAATATATTGGAGAACAGTCTGCATTCCAGAAAAAAAGAAATTCGAATCGTGTTTACTTTGCACAGTTCATAAACGGAATAAATGAGTGTTTGTTTATATTTACTTGTTTTAAACCCTCCTTGAAACAAGTAATTATAAACAAAAACTTAATCAAACATCTTATAAAACAGCTTCAGGGGGTAACAGTCCTGACTTCTTTAGCTTGAGCATTGCCCCTCGGCATATCTCCATCTTCCGACGCACATGCTCGTCTCTGAAGACCATGTTTTCGTTTTAGCTACAAGTGTGCCCGGAAAAGACTCCACTGAGACTTGTGCGGGCGATGGCAAGAATATTCCGAAATGAGTGATTTGCAGCCGATCAAGTTGACAGCATCAGACCGGTCGTGAATTAGACAATAATGGCAGCGGTAAGACACTTGCTGCAGTCCAGATGGATGGTCAAATGTCAGAAAACGTTCGATACGGTCGTGAAGGCTCCAGCAGTGGAAGAAGACACTGTGAATTGTCGCCCGAGTCTGTAATGGCAGAAGAATGGATACTCGGAACGGTCTGATGACCCACAGCGGTGGAAGAAGACACTGTGAATTGTCGCCCGAGTCTGTAATGGCAGAAGAATGGATACTCGGAACGGTCTGATGATCCACAGCAGTGGAAGAAAACACTGTGAATTGTCGCCCGAGTCTGTAATGGCAGAAGAATGGATACTCGGAACGGTCTGATGATCCACAGCGGAGGAAGAAGACACTGTGAATTGTCGCCCGAGTCTGTAATGGCAGAAGAATGGATACTCGGAACGGTCTGATGATCCACAGCGGAGGAAGAAGACACTGTGAATTGTCGCCCGAGTCTGTAATGGCAGAAGAATGGATACTCGGAACGGTCTGATGATCCACAGCGGAGGAAGAAGACACTGTGAATTGTCGCCCGAGTCTGTAATGGCAGAAGAATGGATACTCGGAACGGTCTGATGATCCACAGCGGTGGAAGAAGACACTGTGAATTGTCGCCCGAGTCTGTAATGGCAGAAGAATGGATACTCGGAACGGTCTGATGATGCACAGCGGTGGAAGAAGACACTGTGAATTGTCGCCCGAGTCTGTAATGGCAGAAGAATGGATACTCGGAACGGTCTGATGATCCACAGCGGTGGAAGAAGACACTGTGAATTGTCGCCCGAGTCTGTAATGGCAGAAGAATGGATACTCGGAACGGTCTGATGATCCACAGCGGTGGAAGAAGACACTGTGAATTGTCGCCCGAGTCTGTAATGGCAGAAGAATGGATACTCGGAACGGTCTGATGATCCACAGCGGTGGAAGAAGACACTGTGAATTGTCCCGAGAGTCTGTAATGGCAGAAGAATGGATACTCGGAACGGTGGAAGAAGACACTGTGAATTGTCGCCCGAGTCTGTAATGGTATTTTTGAATGTATCTTTTCTAGCTGATAATTCCTTTTAGATTTTCAATTTTACATTCTTTTAGTATTCTTTATGAGGTTTTGGTTTCTATTTTATATTTGTTCTCGATTTTCAATTTGAAGTGTGCGATCATTACATTTTCATTCTGTTTACACGATTTAATGGCTTCTTTTGTGGTCTCTCATATCGTTTGGCTTGTTTTAGCTTCTCTAATATCATTTCTTCGCATTGGAGATGCAATCTTTCTTTATTGAC